ATGTGCTTTTAAGTGGAGTATTTCTTATTGTTGTTAATTGACCTCATTATGTTGAGTCGCAAAATTTTTCAAAGTTAATGGTAATGATGTCAAGCATATGAGGAATAATGCTTGTTACTTTGCAAGGTTGAAGATCCAGATGACATTGAAGCTGTGAAGACTTCTGTTGCTGGTGATTCAGCTGTCAAAAAGCAAGAACCAATGTGTCAAGAATCCAAAAGTGAAGTTAAAGAGCAGAAGTCTGGTTTTACAAAGATCAGTCCATCAACCAAGTTGCTTATTTCAGAATATGAGTTAGATGCATCATCACTGAAGGCATCAGGTCCTCATGGTACTTTGCTTAAAGGGGATGTTTTGGCTGCAATTAAGTCTGGAAAAGGATCTTCCAAAATTTCACCATCTGAAAGAAAACCATGTCCTCAAATCAGCACTCAGAAATCTCCTTCAGGGAGGCCTGAGTCGAAGACTCATCCACTGCAGTCAATTTCTTTTGAAGACTTGCCCGATACTCAAATTCGGAAGGTATGTTTCATTGACTGGTTATAAGGTAACTACAAGGAAAGAGACTTTGTCATTGGACTTTCTAACTAGGTCAATATTTAAAGATGAAAATCAACCTATTTGTAAACTTAAGTGTAGCTTGATGTAGGATTTTTTTTTTTTTGGGGGGGGGGTACATAATGAATTCAACATAAGAAAGTTAATATATATATGTGATAATAACTGATGTTAAAGGCGGATGGTAGAGTTTAATTTGGAAATAAAATGGTGCTAGGTACTTTGCCAAACGGGAGTTTACATGAATACATTTGATTGAAGTTAAGCGGAGCAAAAGTCAAAGGACTTAGTTTGCAGAGTCTGCATGTAATTGTTTAATCACTCTGTCGCATTGAAAAGTAAATTATTTTAATCTGAGTTCAGAAGGACCCAGGCCTTTATGGTTATTCCACAATAGATTCATAGATTATTGATTGAATAGGATAATTAGAGATTTGAGCAAGAGGGTTTTCGTATTTTATTTATTTATTTTCTGCTCTACTTTGAATTGAAATGAGGAATCTATAGAATATGAACCTCAGAGTGTTTTGAAATGTCTATGTGAACAAATCAAGATATTTAAGAGACAGAGGGGAGCATGCTGTTTTTCACTGTGTTCCACTTTTAGGCATGCCTTCCAGATTTTGTTTGAGTCAAATGCATATGGAATGGCCATATAATTAGCAGTATTCTCAAACTATAGTTGCAATAGAAGTATTTGAAAATGCTAATCTTCCTTCAAGTTCATGTATGTAAATGTCTGATGGCTTTGTATAAATATTATTTTTTTGTTCAGATGATAAAATATGTAAGCTCAAGGAAAGTCCTGTTATTGATTCTTTATTGTGAAATCTAAGTAGTTTGAAGAAAAATTGTATCTGTTACTGCTATAAGTTCTGCCAAGTGTTGACAACCTCTTATACTGTCAAATGTTGCTATTAAGACATATTCCAATTGATCTGTTTGTTTGGTATTCTTGGATTTTTTTCTTTAACAAATTTCATTTACTATATTTGAATATTGTTCCAATTGGTCTCTATCACTATGTTGTTTTATATGGTTTAATGAGTTAATTATAGAAAGTTGATTTAATGGCGAACATTGGTTCCTTCTTTTTACTGCATTTGTGTTCATTTTGCAGGTTATTGCAAGGAGGTTATTGGAATCTAAACAGACTATACCACATTTGTATTTATCTTCAGGTAGGAACATAAAATATTCATCTACAAGTTTTAGTATAATTTAACCTTCTAACTTAATGGTTTTATTGTGTTAATCAGATGTTGTACTGGATCCTCTTCTTTCTTTTAGGAAGGACCTTAAAGGTGTAGGATGAATCCCTGTATCATCAGTTTGATTTTTCTTGTCTGTTGCTTGCCTTACTGCTGATCGTTCTATGCTTAATTTGCAGAGAAGCATGGTATTAAAGTTTCAGTCAATGACATTGTCATAAAAGCGGTTGCAATTGCTCTGAAAAATGTACCTGAAGCTAATGGTAAGACATAATTTCATTGAAGTTGGTCCTTGTAGTTTTCTGAGTAAACATGAGTAGCCAAGCCAAGGCAACTAATAAGAGCATGATCTATTGTAAGATATAAAGATTCCTAGAGATGTTGGGTGATATTTCTCTCTTAGACTAGAATCCAACCTGTTTTACAGCTGTAAACATTGGCAGTGACACATTTTTAATCTGATGCATGTCCAAAGATGTATTTTCAGTGCTTTTGCATAATAAAATATTTTTTATTCATTTCTACCTTCATGCATATTTTTATTTTTTGAGTCATTGTTTGAATTATTAGTTGGGGTGTAATCTACTCTCATTCTGTTCCCGGCGCTGCTTGCTTTTTCGCACTCAAACCTGAACTTCAACATTCCTTAACGAAAGAAATGCCTTAGACTGTGTGGTCATTTTGTTTCTTATACATCAGTAAGTAATTCAACAGCTAGTTTGCAGTCGCTGGTTTATAGATTTTTTTCAGCTTTGTTCAAATGATCATTCTAGAAGCTGTTTTAATGTCGCTGGTCTAACATTAGTTCTAGGTGGGTGTATGATGAGCCTTCTCTAACATCCAAATGTGGGAAAGCTTTGTTGTGTCAATAGTGTGTGGTTGCATTGAATAAGTTCCAAACCGTAAGGGTACTTGAGTACTAATTTGTTTGAAAAAGTTTCAAACTGGAAGGGCACTAAGGTTGTTAGCTGGTCTAGCATGTGTGGAGTATACTCACTATATATAAGGAATTCCAGCATCAGATTACCAATAGTTAGTGCATTTTTATAGAGCGGACAATACGTATATAATTCATTATTCTTCAGTGATAGCTTTCAAGCCTTTTCGCTTTTTTTCTAACTAAAAATGCTGCTATGTCAATGACTGCAGCTTATTGGGATGTTGAGAAAGGAGAAATAATTTTGTATGATTCTGTTGACATATCAATTGCTGTTGCTACTGAGAAGGTACGCTTCCAATAACAAGTTTTCAGATTTTATGGAGACCAACCTACTTATTTCTTTTTTTGCATTGCAGGGTTTAATGACCCCAATTGTAAGGAATGCAGATCAGAAATCCATTTCATCCATCTCCTCAGAGGTACTTTAATCTTCAACCTCTACCTGCTTTTTAGGAAAGCAACTTTGTTGGCTCCTCTACCCATTGAGCTTGTGCTTGAATCTTGAGTTTGTTTAGATAGAAGTACAGAACACATATTGATATTTTCTTGTAAAATATGTCTACTAATCGAAACTCCGTGTAGGTGTAGCTTAAGTACAACTAGATGTTTAAAACAATTTGCAATGTACTAGATGATGGCCAACAAGGTCAGAATTATGTGCTAATTTCTATTTTTTGGCCTGGTTCTTCTCAGTTAATATTTTAGTAATCATCAATTTACTTTCTGGTTTTGGTTCCATCATGCTCATCTTCTTTAACTTGGCCTTCAGGTCAAGCAACTAGCTGAAAAGGCACGGGCCGGGAAGCTTTTACCAAATGAATTTCAAGGAGGAACATTCAGGTATGAATTTTATTATAAACCTATGGGATATTAGTTTCCATTCTATCTTTTTAATAGTTGAAAGAAATATTGAGAAATTGTCAATTTTTGCAGCATTTCAAATCTGGGAATGTTTCCTGTTGACCATTTTTGTGTAATTATAAATCCCCCACAGGTACTCTCTCACACACGTGTGTGAATGCACATGTTTGTACATATATATGATGTGAATGTGCATATATGATGAGAATGTGCTACATGGTTCCTCACACTTGCACTCACCAAAATAGTCTATCACAACATCCTGCGCCTTTATCGAGAGAACATTAAAATATAGCTTCAGCTTATCCCATCCATGAATGGTGTTACATTCAATCCTCAAAAGGAAAAAGTAGCTGGTCTAATGACATTTTTTTCCTACAGAAAGCAATAAATTTGGAAAAAGCATAGTTCAATCTTTTCCATTTATCGATTGAAAACAGTGGAGAACTACTAACGCCGTTTTCTTTCTGGACTTTATCCTAGAGGCACTCTAGAATATTTAACCACTGTAATGGGTGCTGCTATAAAGTGATCCAGACATCGTAAGGTGCTTTAAATCTCTGTTCATTTTATGGCAGGCTGGCATCCTTGCTGTTGGTAGAGGAAACAAATTTGTTGAACCGGTGGCCAGAAGTGATGGTAAATAACCCTTGTCCAGCATGCTTCTTTATACTTTATGCTTCAAAGTGTTTCGCATTTCATTTGTTAAATTCCTGCGCAGGGACCGAGATGCCTGCAGTCGTGACAAAAATGAACTTAACGTTATCTGCTGATCATCGTGTTTTCTGCGGCAAAGTTAGAGGTATGTCATGGTGCAAGTCGTTTAGCCACTGCTTTAAGTACGGATCTTCTGATGGACAATGGATACCCTAATCTAAACCCTAAAAGTATCTCAATATGATACCTGCATGATATTTCTGCAATATTTGTTGCAGGTGCATTTGTTTCAGCATTACAAGCAAACTTCAGTGATATTCCGAGGCTGCTTCTGTGATAACATTTGTGTTGCTGAAATCCCAAGAGATTCAGCTATGTTGGAGAGGTGACTTTCTTAAAAGCTAGTTAATAATTCTCCAAACTGATCATTTTCATTTTTCCCAGAATTTCCATTGTGGCAGAGAAGTTGTTGTGCAATCCGGGTTACCGACATGGTTGCCACAATTTGTTCAACTCATTCAACTTCTTCACAAGAGCCAAGTTGTTTCAGATGTAAAATTTTGCTTGAATTTGTTCAGTTTTACCACTTTCATCAGTTTTTATGCCTTTTTCAGGGCTGCTCCTGCAATTTCATGCTTACATATGATAAATAAAGATGTAATGGGAAAATGCCGATACCGAAATTACCAATGACATTTCTGTTGTATGCAATTCCTTCTTTTCATGGTTTAAATGACCTATACAATACACCATTCACTGCACGAAACCATGTCTTATCCAATCAAGAAAAAAATGTTATAATCAAATACATTTGGAACATTTCATAGATGTTGATCAGCAATATGAGCAAAAAGAAAAATAAAGCAATACTCAAACCTGTAGGTTCCCACAAGCAATACAAATATGATGAAAACTGCTCAAGAGAATTCGAGTATGTCTACTTGTTAGAATTGTGAGGCCCTTTCACGACAAGGGGCTCATACCACTGAGGGCCGAAGCCGGCAGCTTTCCTCGCTTTCTCATTAAAGGGTGGCTTCAATGGTCCCCTAAAGTGCGTCCGCACTATTTCATGAAATTTCTTAATCACCTCTTCACTTACCTCCTCCATTTGGGTCTCACCTCCTTCGGCTTCACTTTCTTGTGATACCACGCTGTCTTGATACAAAGATGGATTTCGGGATCTCAGGCAAAGATACTTAAACCACTTTACTCCTGCAGCACAATGTGTAATCTCTTCAGGGTAAACTACTCTCTCCAATAAATCAGCTGTATCATCATCGCCTCCATTACGGAACCTAGAGATGGTTGTCGGGAGAACATCAAGTCCCCTAGCCTGCATAGTATTTTCAGATGCTTCATCAAAGTGAACATTTAGTGCACGTGTTGCATATTTAGATGCATCAAATCCACCGTCTTTTATTTCATTACAAGGTTCCCAAGATATTCACATGAAATAAAGTTGTTCCATCTGTACTTGAGTCCAGAAAGAACTTGTTAAATTAATAATAGTGCTTCATGTGCATTACTTTGTGCGTTATCCCCTTTTATATATACGCTTGATAATCAATCACCTAAATATGACCAAGGCCTTATCTTTCCATCACATGGCAAGTACACTAAAGGAACTTAAATAGAGATACTTTTGCAAGCGAATCTCACACCGTCTATTAGGAGTATAGAAGGCAATTAGAAAGCAGGACTTTTCATCGAATTCATATATTAATACGGAATTAAGTGATTATAATTTTTCATTAATGCAATGCAACACTTATAATACAGATGAGTACAAGAAAATCATGCACCTCATGTACACAGTGTTCAATTGCCAATCGTGCCAACAGGTCCTTGGAAGTAGCAATTGCAGAGTCCCAAAGCCCATCATGAGCAGGTAACGCACCATAAGAAGAACCAAGCTCCTCAAGTCGAGATGCAAGCAGGCTGAAGTGGCGACCTTCATCTTGAGCTACCTTCACAAAATCTGTGAAGAACTCTCTTGGCATTGCTTCTTTCTTACCAAATCGAGCAATTATATCCTATATGAAATCTATAAATGAAAATGAATCGATACAAATACACCAGTTCCTAAATCATCAACTCTTTTCTTTTGATAGAAAGTAGGCATCATTAAAACCTCCTTCAAGCCCTACCATGTTATGAAGGTAACATGACGGAACAAAGGAGGAAAAGAGTGCCAAGAAACTTTTATTCACAAGAGCCAAATTACAAAGACTGAACAAACTCCTAAACTTTCAACTAGACTTAAAACAGACCACCTAACAAACAGGAAAATACAATTCCTGCTAATCAACACGATCATAAAACCCAAAAATCACCCTATCCCACCTTTAAAACTGGAAATCCCTAGTTCCCAACAATTAACTAGAGACATAGCAAACATTTTAAATTGAAGTCTTAAATGGTATGAATGTATCCCATATTCACACTCCAAAATTCCAAATTCTAAATTTCTAACTATAGAAAAATGGGTCAAGCATGAGGTCAGTAATTATCAACAGGGTTGATTCTCTACAATCTTAAATATTTCATGGGTTGGTTCTACAATCTTAAATGCCTTGAAACAATGCAATCAACCATAATCATACACAAAACAACTAAAATAAGAACAAAGGGCAAAAGCAAAAAGGTACCCAAGACAAGTCAATAGCCCAACTCTCCGTGTGTACGAGACTATGCACGATGGCTTGCCTGCTCTGCAAGCTACCTGCTTTCCCAAGCTTTGGCATCAAACTTGGAGACACCAACTTAACCTTAAAAAAACAAAACAAAAAATCAAAAAACGAATAACCCATTATTTTATAATTGAAACATTTTAATAATAGATAGCGTATGGGAAAATCTAGTGCAGCTGCTACGTACGTTGGAGAGCCTGGCGGGGCGGACGGGAACGGGAAGGTCCTGCGATGGGTCGTAGGGTTGGGTGATGGTTCCTTGGAGCCATTTGGATGCGACCGAGTCGCCGAGTCGAGCCTTCTCCAAAGGGTCCGCTGTGTTGAGAACACACAGCGCCGCTTCTACTAGCGTCTCGTTTTCTCGCGCCATTTGAACTCCGCTCATCTCTTTTCGCTCGCTCTGCAGTGACTTGAAACCCAACCGACAAATTTATTTTATAGTAACAACTATATTTCATTTTCATTTTTTTTAGAGTTTAAATATACCATTACCCCTAAATTATATTCTAAAATTTTATTTTCGATATATTTTATCTCTTGAAATTTGAATTATTATCTCATTTACTTTAAATATTTAATTCTATTAAAAACGATAAAAATAAATTAATATGTTTAGTCACTCAACTTTTTTAAATCTGGATCTTAAAATGAGCCCGGTTCTAAAATCCTAAAATCTTTAACCTTGGCCCAAAATCAAGTCCAATCCACCACCCAATTCTGAACCTAGACTGACATAGGTCGTCTAACTCTAGCTCGAAAAAATCTAAGGTGAAGTATACCAATGATCCCTCGATTTAAGACGTTATTTTATTAAATTCATTAACTATTAAAATTTATAAAATAATCATCTAATCATTAATATGTTCTAAATTTATCATTTATTGTTAAAAATTGATGACAATCTAAGCTTAACGTTAACATGTTGATTGAAATATAATAATCATATGAGATTATGATATTAGATTTTTATCATATTATAACCAACAGTTAACGTTCAACTTAAAATTACCATTTGTTTTTTGACAGAAAATGATAAGTTTAAGACATGAATAATCAAGTAATTATTTTATAACTTTTAATAATTAGGGGACTCAACAAAATAATACCCTATAATCAAAGAAATATTTCATAACTTTTAATAATCAGAAGACTCAACAAAACAACATCCTATAATCGAGGATCATTAATGTATTTTGCCCAAAATTCTTCAATCAAGAACCTTTCTCCTCTTTCAACTTCAACCACCTCTCATTCCGTTCAAATTCAAACACCAACCATTTATTTAACATAACCCTCAACTCGTATCCTCTATCGATCATATCTTTTTTTTTTTGGTTGAAACGGGTACAAAGGGCTGTTTAGATGCCCGTTCTATCAGAAATCAGAAACTTCTCGGCTTCCTTGGGAGGGTTCTGCAGCAAAACTGAATCCCCTTGGTAACTCCATAATTGCCTGGTGATAACATCCGCTACTCGATTTGCCTCTCTAGGTATGTGCTTCAGTTCAACCATCCAATTTCTCTTGAGCAAAATCTCTATGTGCTGCAGAATAGTTAATTTTCTGTGTTCAGTCGACTTGTTTCTGATGAGGTTTATGGCTTCTTTGCTGTCAGATTCCAAAATCACTTTCCTTTCACCCTTCATCCATGCAACTTTTAATCCCTCGTGAATACCCCAAAGTTCTGCTTCTAAGATTGAACAAATCCCAATTTTCTTACCAAAACCCCAATTCCAGTTTCCGTTATGGTCTCTTGCAATTCCCCCCGCACACGGCTTCTCCCGTATTCTGTCGTTTGGCTCCATCTGTATTAATCTTGCAATAGTTTCTGTCTGGTTTTTGCCATTTGTATTGATCGCTATTTCTTCTCTTTGTATTTCCAGTCTTAGAACTTTCTGTATTCTGAATATCTTGGGATAGTCTTAAGGCTTGTTGAATAATAGAGTCTCTTTCAATCATTTCCGGGTCGAAAATCACCTGATTTCTTATTTTCCATATGTACCAGATAACAGCGCTGAAAAAAGTAATCCAGTTCTCGATCCTCGGTGATGGGGATTGGTTTGTTTCAATGTTTTCAATGAGTCATTCCTTTATGTTGATACTCAGGAACTTTTCCATTTTCTGGGTACCCAGAAGTTCAATCCATATCTGCAAAATTTTTGGGCAGAATCTCATCAAATGGTTGATATCTTCTGATTCATAGTTGCACATAGGGCATCTTTCATCTGTTGTCAAATGTCTACGGGCTCTTTCTGAATTGGTTAGTAATCTGTCGTTTCCTATAAGCCATAGGAAAGTTTTAATTCTGGGTATGCTATTATGCTTGGCAATGGTGGACTAGATTTTCTCCTCTGATGAATTGATATTTGCGATTTTCTTATAAGCAGATTTGACAGTGAAGACTCTTTTCTCCGAGGGAATCCAGCCGGTCGAGTCTGCAATGCTAACTTCTATTGGAGGAGGTGTAGCTTTCAATTTGTTGATGATTTGGTCTGGAAGTAGCCGATGAATCTTGTTCCAATCCCATGTACTATTCTGGTTGATCATCTCATTTACTTTGGATTTGTCGTTTTCCACTTCAACTGGATGGATGCATGAATTTGATAAAGGGCCATTCTGATCTAGCCAATTGTCGTGCCAAAATTGAACATGATTTCCGTTACCAATGTTCCAGCAGATATTCTGCTTAAACTCTGACCAAAGGTTGCATATGTGGTTCCAGAGAGCTGAACCTCCCTTCTTAGTTAGCTTCTCAGGCAGGATTCCTTCCACTTTATATTGTTTCTCATCACCTGCACCCATAACAGATCATTTCTATTAATAAGTTTATAAGCCAGTTTAAAGAGGAAAGCCTTGTTTTGCATCCTCAGTTCTTTAGGCCTTGTCCCCATCTTTAATAGGTTTACAAAGGGTATCCCAGTTCACCAGATGAACACCTCTCTGTCATTAGTATGACCCCAGATAAAGTTTCTAGTAAATCTTTCCAGTTCATCGCAAGTTCCTTAGGGATAAGAATTGACTGCATAGTGTAAGCTGGAATTGAGTTGAGGACAGATTTAGCAAGGGTGATTCTTCCCGCCAAAGATAATGTCTTAGCCTTCCAACCTGAGAGTCTGTCTTTCACTTTCTGAATGATGCTGCTATAGGTGTTTTTATTGATTCTGTTGTGTAATAGAGGAACGCCCAAGTAATTTCCAAGATTGTGGACCTCTTTGATTCCAATCATGTTCGTAATAGTGTCTCTGGTTTGAACATTCAAATTGCTTGAGTAAAATATATTGGATTTCTGCAGATTAACTTTCTGACCCGAACTGCTACAGAATTTTTGGAGCGTATTCTGAATAACCTTAATTTGGGACTTGTCTGCTTCAGCAAAGAGCATAAGGTCATCTGCAAAAAAGAGGTGAGAAATGTTAGGACCTTTTCTAGATATTTTAATTGGTTTCCACTTACCTTGATCCACATTTAATGCAATTTCTTGCGCTAATCTCTCCATACAGATGACAAATAGGTAAGGCGAAAGGGGGTCACCCTGTCTGATTCCCCTTGATGGTTTAAAAGGCTCCGTAAGACCACCATTCCAATTAATTTGGATCGTCGTGGAGGTAATACAATTCATAATAGCCATAATAAATCTATTAGGTAAGCCCAACTTCACAATACTATCTCTAATAAAGTTCCAATCTAATCGATCATATCTTTTATATGTTCAAATTTTAACTTTTTATAAAACAAATTCAATTATCTAACAATATTTTAGTTTCACTTCAAAAAAAGTTTGAAATCTATTATCAAAGATAATCGAACACTTGGGTGGTTCTAGTGATTAAAAGGAATTTATAATCGAACTCTTAGAATGATTCCAGTGATTAAAAGGAATTTATTCTTCTTCAGTGACCCGAGTTCGAACGATGTAAGTCTAGTTCTAAATACTTTTCAAAAAAAAAAAAAAATCGAACAAAGGTTAATATATAATCCAAAATGTATCATCAGCTCAACTTTAGATAAATGACGTGATTAAGAGACTATCTGATTTACTAATTTAGTTTTAATGAAACTGTCTACGAGTGCGGACTATTAGTGTCTTGTTCGTTCATAAGCTTGTTTGTTAATTGAATTGCTTATAAAATCTCCCTAAAAGTGTCAATGTTAACGAACATGTTAACGGGTTATTTGGGGCCTACAGAGAATATTCAGCAACCTCTGTGCATATATCTTCCAATCTGTTCTTCTGAGACGCAAAACTCCCTAAAGTACGCGCAAAAAGCATGGATGGTTTGACAATATATTTATGGCAGTGCAGTTTGATTCATCGTGGCGAACTCATATACGAGGTATAGAAGGTATTTCCACGAAGCCATGCATACGGTTTTACGTTATACATACTTTAATTCTAGTCTTCAAGTTCAATGATCTTTACCACTGATGCATCACCAAGCTTCTGGCAAACGACGACTCGATCATGTGGCTTTATGACACCTGAGGCCTTACCATGGTCTAAAGCAACCTTTAAAACCGATTCGTTTGTGCTGCTTTTCGACTCCGCCTGCAAAGCCCAAGTACAGTAAAATGGAATCGTTAAATCGCATGCTTTATGAGATTCATATGATATTATGCTATGGTCCCAAAGAAATCTGGCTTTTCTTCAAGGAAATTGTCAATCCAAATATTCAAAAGTAGTGGTTCAAATACGGCAGCATTTACTATTTAGCTCTTCGAATGAGGAACATCACTATAACAAGCATAAATGAACCTTACCGGATGTCGAGGGTCAGCCAGCATGGGGAAAAGGCCTCTGACAATGAGGGATTGCCTTGCCTACAACAGTTCAAAAAGAGAAAGAGTGATGAAAAGACTGTCAGAGGGATTGCCTTGCCTACAACAGTTCAAAGGAGAGAAAGAGTGATGAAAAGACTAATTTCGAGTTTATAACCAGCAATACTAGAATGAGGATTATTCTGATTGATCCTTTTTTCTATCTTTAAACATCCGTCGCATGAAATGTCAAATAAGTGGTATATAATTTAAAAATAGTTTGACGAGTGTTGCATCAGTTAAAACTATTTATCGTAAAAGCATTTAACAAAGTGGTTTGGTAATAAGTTGAGACGAGGAAGAAACTCAACTCCTGTGAAACAAAGTTAAAAGCATCCATTCCAAATGTAATTCAAGTTTCCCACGTCTGTGAAACAGACTCGTTCGCGTAGGCAACGTGGAAAATATCACCAGTAGCATACCTCAAAAGCACCAGTGAAAGTCCAGCGTAGTTGATTTGTCTTTAGACGAGGGATGACAACAGATATCACAGGCATTGATGGCCTGTACTTTGCAATCACTATACAAAGACATTTGCAGTTACAATTAGCAATCAATCAGCTAAGAAAAAAAGTATAAGCATAATGTCCTCACGCCATGCAGGAAGATAGATATGCAATAACATGTAGAAATCCCCCAGTTATAAGCATTTGCATAAATTATAAGAACACAAACTGCAGAAACTGATACAGAGACTTTCTCACAAACACACAAAGTGGACACAACAAATGTAACCTTGCAGCTCTTCCAGATGAAGTGAAACAAATAATTGCAGAGGCTTTGACCTTGATAGCTGCACGTACCTGTGGTTACATTAAATCCACTTGTACATAAGAGGAACTAAAGAAATTTGACTTCAAAACACTTCAGTCAGAAAATCACAAGGCGATACCATGACTATGTAAACCTATTCCAAATAGATTGATCCTAACATAGCATATCCAAATTATATGAAATCCCATAGAAGGCACAAGTGTGGAATTTACACCATCTTAATTTGTATTTGGTTGGATTACTAACCATCTTCTTATCCTATAACGAAAATAAATGAATCGGATGGCGAAATATAGGATAAAGAATCCTTTGATGAATCTACCTTTCCCTAAGGTAACTATCCTATTCTTAATATAATACCTTGTTTAACTGTATCGCATGGAGAGACAGAGAAACAGTTCAAAGGACGAAGCATCAATGATAAATACCGCAGAGGAAGCAATGGATTCCAGATGAGTCATTGGTTCTCCAACATATTTGACAGTTTTCTTGAAGTATAAATCTTAATTGAAAACTTTTTCCGCCTGCAGAAATCAATTAATTGAAAGTTTGCCAGGTTGGCAACATTTAGAATAATGTACTAAAAAATTACAACAGGCCGTAAAATTTTGCTTTGTAATACTCAAACTATTTCGCTTTGTAATGCTTAAACTATATAACAAGAAAGAGAAATTATAGCTCAAATCTGACAAGTTGAAATAAAGCATGGTTGTTTTCCATACTTCCTTTTGTTCATTAGCTTGAGCACAAAGAGAGGCCATGTTTAGTACAATGATCAGTCTTAAGCTGATAGGAGTGTAAAATCAAACCCTCTTAACCCTTGTATATATTGAAGAGAAACCAATAAACTGAGATTGTTAAATAGATTGAACATTCATATATTGAAGAGTAACCGGAACTCACCTCTGCACAAATTTTTCCAACTGTTGAGACAGTTTCAACAGGATACAGTCCGCGCAAGGTTTCAGCCCTAAAATTATTGCATCGGTCCCTGAACCAAAAAGTAGACAAAAATAAGATTCCAATAAACTGAATCCTTATTGGAAGTCATTATTAAACAGGAATCCAGGAGATTAAGAAATATTGACAAAATAATTAAGAGATTCCATCGAACTTGACACAAAGGTCACACTAAGGAGAAAAGAAAAAGCGTTGTATAAGTGACCAAAAATAGACCATCCAACACAGCATTGGCAACATCAGTTGCTTCAGCACGAGTAGGCCTTAGGTTGTCTGTCATACTATCCACGACACGAGTGACCACTGCAGGCTTTCCAACCATGTTGCACTTGTAAACAGCAGCTTTTTGAAATAGAAACACCTGTAAAATCCAAATGGAAAAACAGCAAAAGAAACAAGTTGGAGGTGCTTATATAGTCCCATAATTTAAAAGAATGGACTATTCATTCTTATGAAGAACGACTCCATAACTCGGAGAGCAGTCTTATGAAGAATCCACTTCATATGTAGGGGTGCACCATTTTGACTACAATTTACTAGATGATATTTGATTATGAGTGAATATATGCTTTCAATCAAGTTATAATACTGAACAGATATAATATGCTGGTGAGGATGCAAGCCAGTCAGCACTTTTCTATATTCTGCTCCTTAACATTTTATACGATAGTTTGGAAGGAAATAATGCATATAGAAACATGGTCCCATTCTGATAAATACTTCTGTGATAAAAAAAAATGTAACCTTCTCAGGTGGGAGATCTATCCCCAGATTTCCCCGAGACAGGATGATTCCATCTGCTTCTTGTAAGATCTCATCAAAATGATTTAACCCCTACAAGTAGTTGACGAAAGACAAGGTACTTATTACAAACCAAATCACGTCTCAAACACAAAATAAGTGTTAAAAATTGCCTTTTTATACATCTGACCTCTATATTTTCAATCTTTGCAAAAATTTGAGTCTGATTGAGCTCACCCAGCTTAGAAAGAAAAGAACGAGCCTGAACACAGAAATGTTGAAAGTAAAATGGAAAGAAATCATAACTGCATATTCTGAAACAGGGACGGACTTTAAAGAAATCATAATGATGAAGATGCAGTGAGAAACTGAAATAGTTAAACAATATGAGCTCCAAGCAGGAAAGTTCTTACATGACGAACATCTTCTGCATGTCGAGTATAAGACAAAGAAAGGAAGTCAATACTGTTTCGAACACCCCAGGTGCTAATAACCTGATATTCAAAAACTCAGGTTAACAAAATCACAAAGTGCACCTTCAAAGCAGAAATATCATGCCATTCTTTTCTTATTGTGTAGTTCGATGAAAACAATCTGCTGGAGACAAAATGTTCATATTCTATCTAAACCGAGTTGTATCTTTAGTGAAGTACAATATAAGCATCTATTAATAATGCTACATACAAGGCCTGTCATCAACATGGATAGTACAAGATCTGGAATCCAATGTCAGATGACATGACTTCAAGCAAAGTGATAATAGACATACCATCCTATTGTAGATTCTTCTTGGGGGGAATGTAATATCCAACCAACAACTAATGGATTACCTTATCAGAAAAATTAAAAAAGCATCTAGTAGAAGTAGAAAAATTACCTCCTTATCCTTATCAGTTAAAGTAGGCATATCAATATGAATTTGAGAGACATGCAAGGTATACAATGTCCCAGACAAGGTAGCAGAATTCTTGATTAGTCAAACCACATCTTCACCATTCAACTCATCAACCTGGACCATGACACAAGTCACATTAATAGCCCTTAAATTTCACCACCTTTTTAACTTCTCATCCTCTAGGCAATACATTTTTCATTAGCAAGAGGGAAAATATTTTCCCTGCTCTTATAAAGTGCCAATAAGTCAATAACCATAAGAAATGCCCAATACAGGATGTAAACCACTATTCTGTCAAGTCAGAATGAGCTCATCCCTTCAACTTTCACTTACCTCTAACCACACTGAAGTAGTTTCATTTCCGGTAAACAGGTATTGGCCAATAAATATGGTATCTCCCTTCTTAACTGCCTGCAAATACCAAATAGAACAGGTTCAACTATTGAAACTAGAATAAAAAAGTTACCATAATACCTTCTTCCTTTTCGTGATAAAACCTAGAGGAAGAGAGGGCAGCTAGAGAATCAGAAGACAAGGGAAAGTGTATGGGAGATGATAAAGTCCCCTGAAGTATACTAATCCGAAAAAGAAAAGGTCACATCCACTGTGGATAAAGAAATTCAGTTAACTAGCATGTGAAGCATGGATTATGAAAAGAAATCCCCTTTTATTAATGTACAACCTATACCGACAATAAATTCTGAGTTTAAATGAACATAAGAATGCCATGGGACACAAAGATTTCACCCATATGCTTGTTGCCCATTTTATAGCCACTTCACAAGGATTCTTCAGTCTTCACTTGGTCAAACCACTATGTTTAAACTAATTCCTGTAAATTTGACACTTAAAACTGGCCATTTATCTTGTTTACCGTATTTAGCAGCAAAAGAAGGTTCTCAAAAAATTGTCAGACTGAAACCATTCCTCGTAATAAAAAAGCTAATGTGTAAAAATTACACAAGTTTTAGTTCAACAAAAACCAACAAAAGTTTCCTTCTATCCATATGTAAGTCATTGAAAAAAGAATAAGATAACATGAGATGCAAAAGTGAGACAGCTAATAGACTCAGATAGTCCATAAAATTTATAGATTTCACAAAAGAGC